GCCCGGCCTGCCCCTCAGTCCGCTTTTCGGGACTGGCCGCGCCGTCGAAGCGCCATCCTTTCCCCCTGTGTCGTGGCTGCCTTTCCCACCGACTTGTGCGCAGATCTGACAAATGTTTGCGAAGCCCCTGTGGGGGTGGGCTGTAATTGCAGGGTGTATTATTGGTAAAGAGACATTTCGGACACTAGATTTAGGGCACCTGGACTTGAAATCCGGCTCATCCCCGTCTCCGTTTGTGACCTTGTAAATGAGGCTATTTGTACCTATTCCATAGGGTTGTTGAGAGGATTAATGGACTTAATTTGTGTGATGGACTGCTGGCACTTAGCTCAAGAGAAACTAGCTACTATTTTCTCCCTTAATGTGAGAGTCTGAGCCTCCCTCCTCGCCCCTCAGCTCGTCCCCACCCAGGTCCTTCTGCAATTTCTTCCCAACAGCACCTCACCCCAGAGGAGTCCCATCCAAATTATTTTAACATCAAGGCAGGGAGGTGGGTGGAGGGTGCTGTCAGCCTGACTGCTACCCAGGCGTGCAACAGCCACCCCCATGCCCCCACTGAGGAAGGGGCTCTGTCTTCTTCCCCCACTCCCTCCCTTTTGTGAGCATAGCCCTCCTCCTCTCGACATGGGGACTTCAAAATGGACCGTGAGAAGAGTCAGATTGCAGGGGTCAGCAACAGTGCACTTGTGGATAAGACAGACAAGACACAGACGCCGAAGACCCCCAAGGGCCTGGGCAAGAGGAAGGAGAAACCAGGGGTAGGTGTGCTGCGGAGGGCACAGGGGTGCTGGGTGGGCAGGTGGGCATGGGGGGAGGGAGCCAAGTGGGACCGTTGAAGGTCACACAGGTCCAGGGTCCTCACCCCAACCACTCCCTGTACCCATCTCATCCCCGGGGGAGGTGGGACTTTCATCTCTTCTCACACCCTCCCCAGGAACTGGTCAAGAAAGAGGAGAAATCAGGGTCTGGGCAGTCGCCCACGCAAGGAACCCCAAAGAAAGAAGACACCAGCAAGGCAGGCAAGGGGAGTAAGTGTCATTCCTGCGGTACCTTCCCGAGGTGCATTGGGAGGGGTGCAGGAGGCTGCCCTGGGCAGTTCCTGTCTTTGGGCCCGACTTCCTTCTCGCGGGATGATGTGGAGAGCTCCACCTGGCCCAGACATCCTGCCCCACCCCTCCCCATACCCCCTTTCTTGGGGCTGGACCCTTGTGGCTCTGTCCTCAGACAAGGAGTCCACCCCCGTCACTGGGGCCCCCGAAGCCATTTCTATTGCAGCCCTCAGGTGGTCTTTCTGCCTCACCTCAACCATTCTCTCTGGGAGCCTGGGTGCCGCCGGAAGTGTGCACTGTGCATCCTGGCTCCTCTTCTGCCCCCAGAGGTGACCATCCCCGAGCAGAAGCTCAGCAAGGTGAAGGGGACCAAGACTGGGAGCAGGGAGAAGCGCAGCTTACTCCTAGAGTCTGAGGTGAGGACAGGTGGGGTCTCCAGGTGGCCCAAGTGCACTGGTCCCCAGGCTCTCCAGCCCTGTGCTGTGGCAGCAGCCACCGGTCTCCATGTTTTGTCCTCCGCACCTGTCCCAGTCACCTGTCCTAAGCCCCATCTCCCCGGCCTGGGTTTGCTGAGGGCATATTGGGCTCTGTGCTCCACTCCCCCTTCTGACTCGGGCAACCCCCCACCTTTCCTTGTTTATTGACCACGGTCCCAACTCGGTTCATTCCCAGAGGCCCTCAGTTCGCCCTCACTCCTCCATCCATTGTTGGGGTGCTGGGACAGGTGCACAGGAACACAGTGTGTTCTCTGGCCACTCTCAGCAGCTCCTGAGGAAGGCAGGGCATTTGTCAGGTCATGGCCGCCTCACCCCCCTGTGCTTTCTCCTTTGCCCCGATTCTCCCATCACCCTTTTAACTTGGGTCAACCTGCTCTTGCTTTGGAAATCTTCCTGGGCTCCCTCCATAGCGCCCACCCTTCCCCTCCCTTCAGTTCTGCCAGCTGCCCGAGAGTCTGTCTCTCTGTATTTTTCTCCATGAGAAGGAGATCCCCTCCCTTCCCAACATAACCCCCAGGCAAGGAAAGGCCCCTCCTGTTCCAGGGCTCTTCTCTGGCACCCAAGACAAGATCTTACAAGAGAGGAAGTTAAGATGGAGGGAGGGGCGGGGTTTCCTTTCAATTCCCACTCTTGCCTCTGCCCCTGACTTGATCAGGCTGTTTCTCATCACAATTTCTTACCACCTTCCTCTAGTCCATTCTCTTTATTGTGGCAGCCATTAGGAAGCACTAGTAAGACCCGGATGTAGCGAGCTGTCTTGCACCTCCAGCCTGCCTTTGCACCTGCCATTTTCTTTGCCTGGAACATCTTTCCCTCATCTTCATTTGAGTGTCCATAGACTTCCCAAAACCGGTCAGCTCATAAGGCACCTCCTCCAGATGGCTGTTCCTGGCTCCTGGCCTGGGCTTAATGTCTCTCCTCCACGCTCCCAGCGTGCTCTGAGCTTCCTTCTATCTATCTGCTTGTGGTCACACTAGACCACGCCACTTTCACCTTTAGGCTCCCCCCCACCGAGGAGCTTTTCAAGGGCCCGGGTTTATTTGTCTTTGCATCCCCAGCATCTAGGACAAAGCTTGGATATAGCCTGCATTCAAAACATGTATGTTGAGTGAATGAATGGTCTGTTGATGGTTCCTCTTCCTCCACTGCAACTAGTGTTTTGCTTTAGCAGCTGGCTGTGGAAGCCACTGAGGTGGTCAACCCTCTCCTGGAGCCAGTGGAGCATCGAGATGGGAAGGTGTTCTTGCCAGGGAACAAGGTCCTATTGCACCTCAACCTTCTCCGTATGTTTGCCAACCTTCCTGCCCTTCTGCCGCGAGGCTGTCTGGAGCCCATCCTGCTGGAAGTGTGCCTGCCCCAACTCCCTGGGCAGACCTGGTTCTCCCATTGCCCGGCATTGTGCTGTCCAGGCCTTCTTGCCAAGGCTCAGAAAGTGATGCACAGGAGGGAAACTGAGGACAGGGATAGAGCTGTGAGGGGAGTTGGGGACAGGGGAGCTCAGAGAGGAAAAATGGTGAGGGGAAGCCAGACAAGGGAGGAGGCAGAGCTGGGTGAAGGGCCAGGCAGGGAAGGATGGGCCTGAGCCAGGGAGTTGGGTGGAGAGCCGGAGAGGCTGGGCTGCTGAGCTGAGGGTGTCAGGCTTTAGTGAGGCCCATGGCATAGAGGCATCCTGTCTGGCCTTCTGCTAGGAAACCGCATCACAGAAGTGGGGCTGGAGGGTTTCCTGGCCGCAGTGCAGTACCAGGTGCAGTTCTCCAAGGCCAAGAGTGTGGCCAAGGGTCCAGTGGGGCTGCTGTGGCTGTCCCTGGCAGTAAGTCCCCTCCACTCTTTCCTGTTGCTGTTTCTGGCAGCTTTTCTCTCCCCATTTTGAAGGAAGGTCTGTAGTTGTGGTTTCCCCGATCCTTTTTTTTTGTTTTTGTTTTTTAACTAGGAGTTTCCCTCTGTTGCCCAGTCTGGCGTGCAGTGGCATGCTTTGCAGGGCTCAGGTGATCCTTCTGCTCAACCTTTTAAGTAGGTGGAATCACAGGTGTGCACCACCACACTTGGCTTTTTATTATTTATTATAGAGACAAGGTCTCGCCAAGTTGCCCATGCTGGTCTCAAATCCTTGGATTCAGGCAATCCTCTTGTTTCTGCCTCTCAAAGTGTTAGGACTACAGGCGAGAGCCACCTACCACACCCTTTTTTTTGGTTTTAAATGCCAGTGTAACCCCCATTCCTTACTGTGGGGTCAGCAGTCTTAGCCACTGTCTTTTCTCCATGTCCCTAGTTCCTAACCCATTCTGCCCAGTACGTTTTTTCTCCTAGAGGACTGATCTCCATTCCTCTCGTCAACTGTCAGCCTTCCTTTTCCTCTTTCAGAAAAACTGCTTTGCTCCGCAGTGTCCTGCCTACACCATGATCCAGGAGCTGATGCTGCCCAGGGACCCCATCAAGGCCAAGCTTAAGGAGGAGGAGGCCATAGCTCCGCCCACTTAGTCCCCTCCCCCGCTTGCCTGAGACTCAGGCTACAGAAGCACACCCATGCCTGTGTGGGCTGACCTCCTGGGGAGAGCTCGGACCAATAACAGTCTGTTGCGGTACTTCTGAGGTGTTTGGAAACCATCAAAGTGCTGTGCCTGCTACATTTGGTTTCTGAGTCTGTTCATGCTGCATGGCCAGAACAGGCAGGAAAGGGATGGTCTGAATCGCTTTCTGGTTCCGGTCTCTGGGCATCAGCTAGCTAGGGGCATTGCTCTTCCACTTCCCAGGGACTGGCTCTTGCTTGCTCAAGCAAGACACTGCCCCAGTGTTCCCCAGGAGATGCGCCTTACGCCAGGGTTTGCCCTCAGAAAGACTTGGGCCAGGATCAATAAGTGACATGCACAAGCTATGGGAGAGGAGAGTGGGAGTAGGTGGGGTAAAGGGATTGAGCACAGCGCGCCCCTTCTGCCTGTCTGGTTAGCCTGGAGGAGAGGGGAGGCTCAGCTAAAGAAAATGCACAAAGGCCACTTTCGAGAAGGTGCTGAGGGACCTGACAAAGGCAACACTTGAACACGTTAAGGTGCTTGCTTGGTGATGATCAATCACCCCAGCTTCTGCTGTGACCCCTGCCCCTGTCCTGTAAAGCTCAGGGACCCCTGGCAGCCTCATTGTCATTCCTACACCTCCTCACGATGACGCCTACATCGGTTCTGATGCCCAATGAGACTGTAAGCATGTGAGGACAGAGCCTGGTATCACGAGAGGTGAGAAATGAAGCAGCAGATACTTAGGGCTGAAAGGGAGTTTGTCACTTGATCCAACAGTGAATGCCAAGAGCCCGAGGCAATGTGACTGCACCTGTGGGAGGATGGAAGGACGATGGTGACAGGGACCAGCCAAGCCTGAGATAGCCACCCACCTTATATTTTGCAAAGTCTTGAAACTCACTGAGGACAGCTTGTGAGACCTCTTGACCCTGGGTCCACTGCCCCATATGTACATGTGTGTGTGTGTGAGTGCATGTGTGCATGTGTTGAGACTGAGTTCAGTGTCTTTTCATGTTTTCTCCATTGGCTAGCAAGTCTGTTCAACCTAGTCTGGTGAGCGTGCAGCTGAAGCCTTGGAGGCTTCCTTGGGTTCCTACATCCAATCCTAACCAGTCCCACAGAAGCAACCATCAAAGTTTTTAAAAAAGCGGTTCCAAGAATCACACACACACCAGCACAATTGAAGAATATTTAACTTTTCTTAAAAAAAAATCTTAACCATGAAAGGAAGAAAATAGGAGTATACATTATCTTAACAGCAAAACAGTCATTTTCATATCTATATTTTATATATATTATATATATTTATATATATATATGTATATATACACCCAGCACAGTGTGTATATTCTATTCATGGGGTGTGGGGTGAGGATGTGGGGGAGGCCATTGCTGGTGGCCCCTCGGATGGTCCTGGGTGCTCTCAGATCCCCACCCCACCTCCTGGGCCCAGTCTTCAGCGCTGTACCTGCTACATTGGTTTTCTACAGGGTTGGGGTGGGGAGGGTTAGACTCAGGTGGGGTAACAATTCCCTGCGGTCCCCATCTTGGGAAGATGACAAGTCCTAGGAAGGGGAAGGGCTCAGCACCCTGCAAAACAGGGTGCCAGGTGGGACTGGAAGCCAGAGACCTCCCCACTCAGGGGGACAGGGATACACAGGTCTGACTCCCCTTTCAGGCCCCGACCCTGGAGCTGGGCTATTGACTAGGAGATACAAGTTACCACCTTCTCCCTTAGCAGTCCCTTCTGGAACTGCCACCAGCACTCCAGGAACAGAAACAGAAAGGTCCAACTTATTTACAAAAGCAAAGACGCACATACAATACATACATATTTATAGGGAACCAAAGTGACAAGAAGGAGGGAGGCACCTAGCTCTCCTGGGGCCCTGAGAGGAGGGGGAGGAAGAAAGTGCATTTACACAGAAGCCTCCTCCCTTCTCTCGCATGTCTGAAGACGTGGCATGTTCAGGGGCACACACAGACACATGTGTGGGGCGAGGGCAGACCAGGGCCTTACAATGCGGTCAGCATGCTTAGGAGACATCAGGCCTTGGAGGGCTGGGCTGGGGGGGAAGACACATAACCTGACTCTGGTCTGAGCAGACCAAGCAACATGCGGGTCTCCCTCAGGCCTCGGCTGGATCTCAGTTTCCCCAATTGCCTCTTGCATGGGGGAAGTGTGGGGTCTCCCCATCCTGTGCCCCTGTCTCAGGCCAGTTCCTGGAGGAGTGGGGATGCAGAGGATTTGATTATGGTCCTGGTGATGTGGTCACATCTGCTGTGCTGTCTTCCAAGGGGGTATGAGAGCCTGTGGGGTGATGACGACGGTGAGGAACTGTGCCTGAGTGAACCCCTTCCACATATTTTGTCCTTCAGTGTTATCCATTGCCCCCAGAAAGCCTAGTTTCTGGTGTGGCTTGAAAAGGGCTGTCTACTGAACCCCACTTTGTCAGCCCCCAGGCCCCCCATCTCAGTAGGTATGTGTCTTGTCTTCCTGAGTTAGAACATAGCCGCGTCCCTGGCTCACCCGATATGGTTCTAAACCCCTTAATAAGAGCAGGTCTTCAGTGTGAGGCCAGGCTTCCCCTGGCCTTGTCACCTCCACAGCATGAGGAAAAATAGGGTTCAATCAAAACTTCCCACTGGGGGGCGAGGGGAGAGGAGAGGGAAGGAGAGCTTCTACGGGACTTCCCTAAAATCATCCCTTTCTGAGGCTGAAGGAACAAACAAGTTACCCTAAGGGGACGCCAGAGCCACCACCTCTCACACTCCCTGGTGGTCTCCTCCCCATGGCTTCACTTACCATCTTCAGGGCAGGGCCTCAGCTCCTGGCTGTTCCTGGGCTCAGAGGTTTCCTTAGCTGAAGGCAAGAGAGCACCTTCTGTCCATCGGGCTGCTTCTGTGTGGAGACTGCCCACAGGCGTGGTGCCTCCCGACGACTCTCCCCCGAGAGACTTGAGCAGCTCTCTGTGGGCCAACTCCATGTCCTGAAGTCATGGGGGAATAGGAGGTATGGGTCACACTCTGACCTCTGCTGGGGACAGGGCTGTGGTTTCAGGGAGGCTGGGTAGGCTGAGGGAGAGCCCTGGTCCAGGACAGAATCTAGGGCTCATGTGAAGACACCCCACTTCAGGGTATAGTCTGGGGTGAGGGACAGAGGCCTGCAGGGACCCAAGTCCTTTCCCCTCACCTTGAGCCTGTTGAGCTTGAGGGTAAGCTGCTCAATGGTGCGGAAGATCATGCCCACATCCCTGAGGGCCAGGCTTGGGGAAGAGCGGTTGGGGCGTCTTTGATCTCCAGTGTCTCCCTGCAGCTGGGGTGGTGGCTCTGTCTCCCAGGCAGGGAGGCTGTCAGGCTGGGAGGGGCTTGTGGCTACCCCTGCAGGGTCGGTGCTTGAGTCCAGGGGTCCTGCTGGCATGCTGACATAAAAGCAGTTTCCTGTTCCCACGGCAAGAGAAAGAGATTGGGAGGCAGGCACAGAGAAGTGGAAGCCATCCTCCCACTCCCCGACGCTCCTTTGCCTGACAGACGTGCCAGGGCAGCCCTCTACAGGTGAATTCGGGGCGTGCTGGTGCACAGCCAGGCAGCCTCCTGAAAGCCCTTCCCCAGGGCCTTTCTACAGGGCACTTTGCTTAGACTTGTCTACACCAAGGGAGACTCTGAGTGAAGTGGCAGGGCTGCAGCATTTCATCTGGAGTAACAGAAGGGCCCCCATGCCTCAAGGGGAAGGCCCCTGTGAAGAACAGGTGGGTAGCCCTCTCTCCTTTCCTCACCTTGGGTTCTGTTGATGAGCTTCAACCCCATCCCCACCCTCACCCCCACTGCCATCTGTGTCACCATCCCCTTGACTCATCCAAGGGGGGCGCAGGCAGCTGGAGGAAGGATGTGAACATCTCTGATAGGGCAGGAATCTCAGAGAGTCACCGAGGAACCTGGGAGGCAATTGATGAAGCCTGTGTCCACAGTGCCACTGGAGCGGTAGCTAGGATGGGGGAAATGGCTTAAGGACACTGGGCCCTGGGGATAAGCCAAGCTGTTCCGCCCCATGTTACAACTGAACACAAGCGCTTAACTCTGCTGCCTCTGACAGGTGGCTTTTAATGCTGGAGGCTAGACTGGATGGCACAGAGCCTGTCCCCCTGTTTTCAGGCCCATATCCTCCTCTTTGCTTGTTGCAGATGACAGAGGGAGTCTGTGGGTGTGCACGTGTGACTGCAGGCAGGAGTTTGCCCCCCAAAGCCCCACACTCCAGCCCTGGCCTGTCTAGCTGCAAGGAGCAGTTTGTTACCCGTAGCCTTTGTTCCGCCTTCCACTTCAGGTGGCTCAGGCTCTGACTGGCCACTCTCTGGTAGTGCAGGGACAACCTTGCTGCCTGCCACCTCGGCTGCACCGACACCACCACCACCAAGAGGAGAGACCGAAAGATAAGGCAAGGGAAGGGAAAGAGAATAGGGAGAGAGGAGAAAGGTGAGGGAGAAAGAAGTGGGGGTGGGGGAGGAGAAAAAGGGAAGAACAAAGTGAACACAAGATCATACATGATGACATCCCAGGGAGCTGTGGAGAACTCTCCACCAATTCACCGAGAGAGAGAGAATGAGAAGGCCAGTTTCCAGAAACCCAGGAGAGAGGGTGGACTTGGGCAGATGGAACAAAATATGCTACCAGAAGGGAGGCAGGACGACGTCCCCAGGGAGGATGGGAAGTCCCTGCCTGGCCAACAGACTGCCTGGCTTCGTGCCACCTTTCCTGCCACCCTCCTCTCTTCTCAGTGCTGGGACTTCCCTCCCTTGGGCTCACTGCTCTGCCCGGACAACCTGTCCTTAGCCTCCCTGTGAGTGGGTCTTGGCTGTTCTTGTCTCAAAGCCATCCTCGGCATTCCCAACCTGAGGTGCCCTCCCTGCCACACCCCTTCCATCCAAATGCTTCCCAGCCTCGTCCTCCAGCCCTTCCAGCCCGAGCTGCCACCTCCACTGCCCTTACTGTCTGGAGTGAGGGCTACATGCATCTGCCATATCTTCCCAGGTCCGAGACTCCTGACAAGGGCACCTCTTAGGACCAAAAGATTAGGGAAGACGCCAACAGAAACTCTTACTGGCAAATGATTTATCTCAGGCACAAGGAAAAGTACTCATGCGCCACAGAATGAGGTTCAGAGATGATCAAAACTCTGTCTAAAGGTGCACAGATATTAAGTGGCAGAGCTAGGGCTTCAAACCTGGGCTGTGTGACTCCAAGGCCTTAGAACGGTGTCAGTGTGCAGCAGGAAGCCGCCACCTGAAGACCTGCCTCCGCCCAGCAAAACTGCAGTATGTCTCCCAGTGGTTGCGCCCATGCATTTTACCTTTTCTCACAACTTTGTAACTTCCTGACGCCTCTGTGCTTGAAGCCTCTTCCGCTGGATTCCTGTCCAGCTCTGGAGACTCCCAGATCCCAGAATTTCTGGTCCTTGGGGGCAGGTGCTCTAGAGAACAGAGAGCTGTGTCCTCTTGCTCCAGCTGGCCCCGCTCTGGCCCCGGGAGCTGGGTGTTGCCCCCTTTGCCCCCAGTGGGAGCTTGCCCTGGGGAGCCTGGGTCCCAGGGGTGAGAGGTGACGCTGATGACAGAAGGCGTGGGCGTCAGGTCATCCTCGGGCTCCCCCACAGCCTGTGTTTCCACGGTGTGAGCAGGCAGCAGGCTCCACAGGATCAGGTGCCGCAGGCTCTCCACTGGAGGGGAATAGGGTGATGGCTCCCCAGCACAGGTCTGCACGCCAGGCCAGGGGTGGAGTGCGCGTGCCAGGAGCAGTGCTGCTCCCCTCCCCCACCCCAAGGGGTGCCTCAGGCCCAGGGTGGAGGGGTAGGGTAGTGACACCTGTCTCTCTGCAACCACCTCTCCCCAAGAACGCCAGGGAGAGCCTTTGAGAAGGTGGAGGGTACAGGTGTCTCCACTCACACTGGCAATGCGACTGGGGAGCAGACTGATGGCAGCCTTGAGACACTCACCATCCTCCAGAGCAGACTCAGCAAGGCCTTCCATGAACAGAGGACCTGGGAGGGCCAGATGGATGGAGTCCCGGGCCCGGATGCCCCTGTTCTCTCCATCTAGGGATGCGGAAGGGTGAGGCAGAACGCCCAGCTCCTCCTCCTCTATGCTGCCCTCCTGCTCAGGGTCTTCCAGTGGCACTGGGTGCTTCCCTTGGGCCCTCTGCTGGGGCCTAGTGCCTGTTGTGGATGAGAGGAGAATGCCAGGCAGGGAAAGGAGGAGGGCATGTATGGGAGACCTTATGTGCAACCAAGGGGCCGGGACACCGACTGATTCATTCTACAAGTGTTTATTGGGCACCTGATGGCCAGGCACTGTCCCAGGCTCTTGGCATACATCAGTAAACAAAATAAAGACCACCCCCTGCCTACATGGAGCTTACATTCTACTGCAGGGACACAGAGAAATAATATTAAATAATAAGTCAATTACATAGGTTCTTAGAAGGTGATAAGTTCTACGGGAAAGAAGAAAAAATAGAGCAGGATGGGGGAGTACTGACTACAGTATCAAACAGGGTAGGCAAAGGGGACACTAGGACAGAGACCTGGAGGAGGTGACAGCGAGGAAGGACTTACCCAGGGAGCCCAAGATTCCTCTCTAAACCTAAGACCTTAAATTGTTTCACATAAACACTTTCAAAAAATGAGAATTGTTTGAGGTCCCACCCATCCCATCCAAGCAAGTGCATCTTAAGCCCTTCAGGTTCTCCTATTTCCATAGTCTCAGACACATCTCGCTCTCCTAAAGTAACTATGGTTGAAGGGGGTAACTGCTAGTTGCACTTGGACTCCACCAGGCCCCTCCTCTTCCTCCACTGCTAACACTGCCACCTAGAGGCCACGTGGGAATCTGCGGCCAAGTGAGCTAGTTGACACTCTTAAATCTGTTCAGTCGGCTTCCTTTCTCACCCTGGTTCTTCCCTACTCTTTACTGAAACCTCATGTTTCACCCCACCCACACCTAACCTGTACCTACAATGGCCTGGGCTGGCTCCCACAGGACAGTTTGATGATTTACCTCCAGGCAACTCCTCAGGTTCTGGCTCACTGTGGAACACTTCTGAGTCATCCAGGTCTACCCTGAGGGAAGAAGCCACCCACAGGTGAGATGGCACAAAACTCACTTCCTGGACTCCCAGATTAGGATGGGCAACAAAGGAGAGGGACCCGAGGAGGGAAGGGTCAGGCTTATCACCTGCCTGGTCTGGCTGGAAACAGGGGAGAGTGGGCTCTGGCCAAGCCTCTCTGGTCCCCTGCTCTACTCTCCCAACCCAGCCAGGTGGAGCAGACAGGGGCAGGAGGTGGGAGGTGGGGGCATGCTCCTCCATCTGCAGGAGCTGTAGCCGCCTATTTCCCACTAGCCATTCCTAGCTGAGGCTGTCCACCCTGGGGGCAAAGGGCTGAGAAGCTGCAGGAAACAGGCAGTGTGGAGTAAGGATGGTGTGGGGCCTGGAGGGTTGAGCACTGCACCTGCTGGGTGTGGTGCCCTGGGGTGCAGGCTCCTGGGGTCCTGGGGGCGGGGGGAGTATAGGCGTTGGGGCAGTTCCGGGATGCCTGGTGGCATTCCGCACGACCTCTTCTAAGAGCTCCATCCATCTGTTGCTCGGCAGGAACAGAGAGGACTGTGGTGAGAACAAAACCATGGCACATACCACTGCTCCAGAGCTTCCAGGCCCTTCTCCACGCTCTGCCCTGAGGACTTGCTGCCTGGTGGGTTCCCACTGCCCTTCACAATCCTCACTGGTGCTCCCTGGGGGTTATGTTACTAGGGGTACCAAATACTGGACACTAACCTTCTGAACCCTTTGTTATGCTCTGTGCTAAGTGTTCTGTATGTTTTCTCTTTCAAAATAACTCTCTAAGAGGCAGCATTATCCCCATTTTACAGATGAAAACTCTAAGGCTGAGAAAACTGTCTGTCTCAACCTGTCTTTCCACTGTGCCATACCACTTCTGGCAGCTGGTGTTGAGGGGAGCACGGGCTGAGAGGAGGCAAACACCTGAGAAGGGTGCGTGGACCAAACATATGCTATGGGGAAGGGAGGAAAGAAGCAGAGGTAGTGGTAGAGATTTGGGAGCTGGTTCTCCCCAAAGCAGGCCTGGCTACAGGGACAGGGGTGAGGACCCCTCAACTTCTCTGTGCCTGTCCTACCTGCCACTTCCCTTCCCTACTCCCCATCCAAGAACGCCTCTGGAGCCCGGCCCTGGCTCACTGTCCAGCATCCTTATACCCACCACCCTGGTCCCAAGGGGATGGTAGTTATGGGCGACCCTTCAATCAATTCTCACGTGTTCTTGTCTGATGACGTCAATGCAACCAGCTCATAGATCTGGGGGGGACCCAACTTGGAGGTACAGATGATGAAAAAGGCCCGTTTATCTGTGTGCAAAGGAAGACAGAAGGGTCTATACTGGGGGTGGCAGGTGTGATCGCAGTCCGGGCCAGGGTAAGAGTGAGGATCCAAAGCCCTAACCCTCAACATGGATGAACAATGTAGCACAAGATAGATCTGGTTGATCAGAACCACTTGGGACCCACTTATAAAAGGGACAAAGGAAATTCTGGGACCCTTAGTGTCATCTATCATGGCCACCCCATTCTTGTCCTGCTCTACTAAGAGAAGTGGTTATATGGTTCTTAAGGTTTACAAAACATTTTCATACCCATCATCCCTTTTGATCCCCCTAAGAAGAAGGGTAGGTATCACGCTCATCTTATAGATGGAGAAAGTGAGCCCAGAGAATTCGGTCATCTGCCTCTTGCTCCTTTTCTCACACATACTCACTTCTGACTGAAATGCCTCTGTCCCCTGGACCTGGCTCTGCACCACAGGTTCTTCGTCTTTTGCACTCAAGCTCCATCCACCACTCTTACAGCAGGAAGGCTTGTCCTACTCACCCTGCCCACTCTCACTCTTCCCAAGACTGGGAAGACACTCTTAGCCCACCTTGGATGTCCACATCCCAGCCAAACCAGTGCTGTCCCTGAGGGCTGAGCACCCCCGCTGCAGGTTGTCCATCCTATCCTGGTTCCCATGCTACCTTCATCCCAGCTCCATCCTGGACCTCCTGCTTAGACTGGGTCAGGAGAGGAGGAACGGAACACAGGCGGACAGGTAAGTTTTGCAAGGCCCCAGGCTGGCCCTACATCACCCAGTGCTTGCAGGATATGAGTCAACAGTGATCACGGCCCCAGAGCCCCAGGCCTGCTGGGACCAGCTCCCCGGGTACCTGTGGCCACGGAGCGGATAAGCACAGCGTTAAGCTTGAGCACGGGGCTGAAGGTCTGCTTGCTGTCTGAGGCGCCCACGGCGGTCTTGCTGTGGCACTTCAGCAGCAGCTTCTCATCTTGTTTCTGCAGCAGCACCAGGAGGTCGTCCAGCAGCAGCACGTGGAGATCTGGGAGGGTGTGGAGGCAGTGAGGCATTCCTCGGTGCCACTGAGGCCTCACTAGCACAGTGGGGGTGGAGGCTTGCAGAGGGTCTAGGAAGCCTTGGGAATTGTGACCCCCACTCCGCTCTGTTACTGCCCCCATGTCGTGCTTAAGGAGCTCTCAACTGCACCCCTAGCTCTCAACTGTCACCCCTAGCTGTGTGCCCTCCCTGGTCACCTTCCTACCCCTTCAGGACAACAGGTTCCAGGGTTTGGGAAACAGAGGGGAGAAGCCAGGGGAAGCCCACCCCCTGCAGGCTCCTTTTATTCCCAGTCCCTGGCACATACCCAGGGTCTTATCCTTGCTGATCCTCCAGGTCAAGGGTCCCTCATGGATCATCTTTCTGGTGGTAAGATCCAGGCTCTGTTAAGGAGACATCATCCTCATTCAAGAACCCCCTGTGTGCCAGACATTGTGCTAAGATGCTGGGATTCAGTGGTGAACAAGGAACATTCCTTTCCTTTACGTTCTCTTGGGGAATACAGATAAGTGGAAAGGCAACTCACATGCCATGTGCTATGCTGGGGAACATACTGATGGCTCTGGCTTGGTCTTCCAGCCACCCCTGCTGCATGCTGTCAATCTTCTTGAGATGACCCGATTCTACTCTTCCTGCCCATGCCTGCAAGTGCCCCCCACCTGAATGATCGCCACTCTACCTCCAGCCCCATCGCACCCAGCATGGGGTGTTCTAACATCTAGGGCTGTTCTAACATCTCGTCTTTACTAGGTGGGGCTGTCTGCCCTTGTCCATGAAGGGACAGAGTGACAATGATAAGAGCATGTGTGTCTTCCCAGGCTCCCTTGTGCCACCCTATTGCACATAGGACCACATCTATTGCCTTGGAGGCTCCAGGCCTGACCGGAGCTCTGTCCTAAGGGTGCCCAAAAAGTGTGTGTGAAGGGCTGCCCATGCTGCAGCCTCTGTCTCCTACCTTGAACTCTGCTGCCAGGGGATTGCTGGCCCTCTCCAGGGCAGTGGCATCTAGGCGTTTCTGGTAGCCCTCTAAACGGTGCCGGTTCTCCGTCTGCTTCACCGCTTCATTCACGTACTTGAGAATCTCCCGGCACTGGTCCCGGGCCCGGCAGAGCTTCTCATGCTCAGAGGTGCCACCTGTCAAACAGGACAAAGGAGGTGGTAGGACTCCTGCCTGAGAAGTCCATCACAGAGTACTACTACCTGCCTATGTCTAACCACAATGACTGGCTGGCCTCAACCAGCAGGCATGGATGAAGGCAAGCCACCGTGCCTACCTACCATGAGGACCTCGAGTGGCAAGGTCAGCCTTTGTGGAGCATCCTCAGGTTTCAGGCCACTCTTGGGAATTCCTGCCTAGACCACAACCAACCCTACAGGTGGTGGGACAGAGGCTGTGGGTAATGGCAACAACGATGCCTCTAGAAAGCCTGTCCAAATCAGGCTGAGGTTCTAAGGCCTCTCTTTCCTAACTCCAATGTCCCAAATTCGCAGGTAGTGAAAGATGCCCAGGATCCCAGCATCAGTGACAATGCTGGGCCAGACCTCTTGTTCAGCCTGGTCTGCTATTCCTCGAGTGTGACCACATAGGTTGTGTCTTGTACACTGCAGGGCATGAATGGGGCTGAAATCCAGCCATGGCTCCTGGTGTGAGACCACGATCATCCAGGGAAACAGGTGCCCCTGAGTGCCAGCCTGAGTGTTTGCTGCCCCTGGTGCTAGCACCTTGCCACGCCCTACCCTCTGTGTGCTTGATGATGCTCTCCAGCAGCAGTGGGTACTTGGTGAGCCGCTGCATCTCGGAGATGATGAGGTCTCGCAGTTGCAGCCGCCGACACTGAGGATGGCTCTCGGCCTCCTAGATGGCAGGGGAGATGTCAACTTACGGTTGGGAGCTGGCTTAGGGCTCAGGGCCAAGAGGGAGACAAAAATGCCAAGCAGGTCCTAACCCCAGATGGATACCTAGAAACAGTGGTGGCAGCTTCTTCCTTAAATACTTGGGGAAGGGTCGACAGCAGGGAGATACCAACCCAAGGAAGGGATATGGTCAAAACAAAAGGACTGGTATCACTGCTATTTTAGAGACAAGGGCACGGAGACCCATCCTGTGCACTGGGACTGGAGTTGGTAAGCCAGGCTCTGACTGTAAATCCAGCGTTCCTGTCAATGAGCCGAGCAGTAATTTCTTTACCTAGAGTGAACCAGCACTTCTCAAGAGCTGGCGTGGGGCAGGGTGTGGATGGGTGGAGGGGGTCACTGTGGACAGGGGGCCTGGGGCCAGGAGAGAAGTCGGGGAGATCTTTGGTGAACCTGATGCAGAGAGAGAAGGCTGAGGTGGGGCCAAGGATATACCTGCATGAACAGCTGGAACCGGCTCTCCTTGCGCTGCTTGGTCTTGATCAGCTCCAGGGCTATTGACTGATAGGAACAGAACTGTGCAGCCACTTGCTGAAGCTCCTCTCGGGCAGGACCATCAAACTGAAGAGGCGGAAAGACAGAAAGACATTGGCCAGGGCGCCACACCTCTGTCAGGGCCATCCCCTACCTGTCCCTTCCTCTGCCAAATTCCCTAGCCTTGGGTAACGGGATCCTGCCTCCTCCAATCTCCTTGCCAAGAGGGAACATCTGGAGCCATACCCGAGCCAGCATGAGGTCACTGATCTCTTTGATGATGGGGCCCTCCTCCCGGAGCTTCTTCATGGCTTCACACCAGGAATCTGGGGTGAGAAGAGAAGAAACAGAATGCCTGCACTCGAGCCCCCAACCGTCAGCCCCTTTGTGACAGGGTAAAGGGACTTTTGACAACAGTGCTCTGGGGAAGGGTCTGGAAACCATTTACTTTTGGGGTGACTGGAGTGCCAGTTTCAGGTTGTCCATCAATCTTTCTCTCACCAAGGAGGACTGTAAGGGTTATTGACTCAGGGAGGTCTGGGCAGGAGGCCAAAGGCCAGCAGAGGAGTTTAGAGAGCACCGGTTCCTTACTGTGAATCTCGATGAGCTCAGGCAGGTTGGGAAAGAGCCGGGCCAGCTCTTCCCGCGGCATCAGGTTCTCCTTCTTCATGCGCTGGTAGAAGATCAGGTCCAGCACACGGAGTATGCGCAGGTGGGAAGCCTCCGTCACAAATAGCTCTGAGTGGTGGTGGAAAGCCAGGGAGCAAGCAGATCAGCACATGTCTAGACTCGCTGCCCTGGTTCCACACCATGCTACTTCTGGGACTGGAGGGCTGGCTTCAGATCTTCCAGCAAGTTTTCTCTCACCCCAAGGGCTAGACCTAAGATGAACTCACAGCAACAGGAAACACAGACCTGGTCTTGCCTGCAGGGGCCCCCAACCTACATACCTCTTGGCCGCCCTCAGTGTCTGGGGGCCTCTGAACCTACTCCTACACACGAGTGAGTGGAGGGGGAGCGGAGCACATTCTTACCATTGATGACCTCCTGCCGGTCAATCTCCCTCTGGGTTAGCCCAGCCACCACGTCCTTGCCCACTGTGTGCTGCCAGTTTTGGGCATCTGGCTCAGGCTCCAGATCAGACAGCTGGCCCAGATCATCCTCCAGGAGGTGGGGAAGGAGGGTGTCTGTGCAGAACCCCAAGCTGGGGGACTCAATGCTCCTGGGGAAAACAGGTAGCTCAGCTTCACTGAGGAGGAAGAGCTCACACACAGCCCTCCCTTTCCTGCCCAACCTGCTTGCCCATGCACTTGGGAAACCAGAGGGCCACTAAGAGGAGATGCAAGCCAGGCAGCCCCTTGGGGTGGGGGAAAGCAACTGAACATGGATGGGACATCTGAACAGAGGAACCACTGTGCCCATCACCCACCTGCGGCCCATTTTGGGGGTGAAGGGAGGTGTTGGGTTCTCAAGAGACCTGTGGAGGAGAATGTTAACTCTCAGCAACCCTCTATCATTGCCCTCTCCCAAGATGTCCAGGGATAGAGCCATTGGAGCCCTGCCCACCTGGTGGAGAGGCTAGAAGCAGAGGATGAGGCCGACTGGTGGAGGCGAGTAGCTTCAGCAGCAGCATCCATGTCAACATCACTGCGAGAGCGGGGCACATTCTCCCCCTTTCGAGACCGTTTCATCTCTTCCCGGCCCTTGAGGCTCTCTGAGCGGCCTAGGCGAATCTCTGAGCGTGAACTAGGGAGAGGGGGACAAGAGACTTGGGGACCTTGCATCCTGGCCAGCTTTCACCTCCTGCCTCATCTCCAGGGTGCCTCGATGCAGCAAGTTCCCCACCCCATGCCCACATGGCGAAAGCACCTGGACAGCAGAAGCTTCTCAGTGATAAACCATTTTTGCTGTTCTATAAACTCCTTCCACCGGGCACAGTAGCTCATGCCTATAATCCCAGCACCTTGGGAGGTGGAGGTGAGAAGACTGCCTGAGCTCAGGGCTTCGAGACCAGCCTGGGCAACTTAGTGAGACCTTGTCTGCACAACAGATTAAAAAACTAGCTGGGCATGGAGGTATGTATGTGCCTGTAGTGCCAGCTACTTGGAAGGCTAAGATGGAAGGATCACCTGAGTCCAGCAGGTGGAGGCTGCGGTGGCTGTGCACTCCAGCCTGGACGACAGAGTGAGACTCAGACACACAAAAAAACAAAAAACAAAAAACTCCTCCCTTTCCCCAGTCAAGCTTGATGGATAGAGTCATCTTCCTATTGACCTATTAGGAAGGGATCCTAACAGGAAGATGAAATCGGGGGCTAAGAGAATCAGACTTGTGCTGTGTCCAGAGGCCTAAGACACCATGCTCCTGTCAGAAAAGCTGTGGACATGGTCCACATGATCCATGGATGGTCCCACCTCCCTGTCCCTGTAGCCATCTACCGGCCAGTTCATGTCTCTGCTCTGGAATGGGTTACTGAATCTACTTGAAGTGGATTTCTTTCATAAGACTTCTTAGAGAAAAGTATGGCCACTGTCTTCACATGTTTATTCTAGGACTCGCCACACTGCCAGTCAGAAAATTCTATCTGCTGTTGGATTATGGCTCCTCCCGTTTTTTTTTTTTTTGA